CCCCAAAACCCCAAAACCCCAAAACCCCAAAACCCCAAAACCCCTTTAGAATGGATAATTATTGAATATTATTATAATTTTTGATTAAGGGAGATATTATGGAAGAAGATAAAGCTTTAGATAAGAAAGTAGATAGGGATGATGGGATTGGTAATGAGGAGGTGCCAGAGAGGGATACGAAAATGAAATCTCCTAAAGAAAATAAAAAGATCAAGAAAACAGATCAGAAGAAATGAGAAGAAGAATCTAAATCAGCTTCAAAAGCTAGCAGTAAGCTGCTTACTTATACTCTTTATAGCCAACATTTTCCAAGTACGATAATTTAAAGATAGTTTGAAGAGAATTCAAGCAAAGTAATTGACCAAAATTATAGAGGAACAGCAAGCAAAAGCAGCCATACTTCTGCCAACGCTTAAAAGAAGTCTTGGTAAACTACATCATAGCTGAGGATTCACAGAAAATTGATTACAGGTCTTTCATATCCCCAGATGATCGTAAAGACTTTGACAAGAGAGAGGAGAGCATTGGTAACTCTTTCTATCATCAATAGAGGTTGAATTTCTTGAAATTATTGATAAATACGCAGAGGAAGGAAACGAAACCCAAGGCTATAAATAAAGTAAGCAGATTAACTCAATTTAGGCAGAAGAAATTCTTTTTAAATTTATTGAGACTCACACAGACCAGACAAACTACAAGCTTAACATTGTTTTCCCAGAAATTGAAGGAGATGTAAAAGAGAAAAATGACAGAAGAAAATTAGTATTTGGTGAATATTTTATTAATAGGACAAATTAAAGGTAAAAGAAGCTCTGGGATACGCCTACACTTACAATGGGTATTTCTACCTTGGAATTGCTCAGTATGAGCTTGAAAAATACAAAGAAGCATCCTCAAATTTTGAAATTGCTTCAAGGTTCACTCCACATAACTCAGAGGTTAATTTTTACAAAGGAATGAGTTTCCTTAAAGACGGGAAATATGATGATTGTAAAGCCGCCTTTAAGAAATGTATTAAGTATGACAACTCCAACATCACTGCTGTTAGCAACCTCGCGTATGCCTATAACATCTCAGGTCATTATGACTCAGCCATAAAGGTTTGAGAGGATTGTAAGTCTTGGATTAAACCTTACTCTGACAGTTTATAAATATTTCTTATACAGATATCGATCATGTTGATCAAAATGCACCAGAGTATTACATGTACCTAAGAAATTGGACTTATGCACTCATCAAAGAAAAATTCTTTGTTGATGCTATTGTGAATATCAGAAAAGCCATTGAGATTAACCCAAGAGATCCAGAAAACTGGGTGATGTGGGGAACTGTTCAAAAGATTAATGGAGACTTTGCCAGGTAGGCCAATTTCATATTACGATCGTTTTTAATATAGACTGAGGCTCAAGAGTTTTTCTTCCTCTAAAATTTTATAGAGAATGTTCAGTTTAATAATTATATAGCGCAAAAAATAAGTTTGAAATCGCTCTAAAAATCGAGCCAGAGCATTCTTTAGCAACCCAAGAACTGTACCAAAAAGGACTAGACATATTTATCTCAAACATATCCGCCGAATAATCCTCTCTCAAAATCCTAAAACCCCATTAAATGCATAAAAACCAACATTGAACCCTCTCAAAGTATTAAAATCAACTCTATCATCCTAAAAAGGGGTTTTGGGGTTTTGGGGTTTTGGGGTTTTGGGG